ATTTTTCGAAAGGTCTTGATATCTAGGATAAAATTCAACACGGAGAAATTGGAAATGGAAAAATTGAAAAATCAAAATCGAAACGTCAAAAAATTGAGAAATCGAAAAGTTGGAAAATCAAAAAATCATTAATCGAGAAATTGAAAAATCCAAAAATTTAGAAACGTCAAACAGAAAAATTGAAAAATCGGAAAATTGAAACATCGTCAAACTGAACGAAAATTAAGAAATCGAAAAGTGAAAAAATCGAAAATTTGATGAATCGAATAATTGAGGAATCGAAAAATCGAAAAATGAAGAAAAAAACTGAAAAATTTTGTTCTTAGTTTATTTTTCGAAAGGTCTTGATATCTAGGATAAAATTCAACACGGAGTAATTGGAAATGGAAAAATTGAAAAATCAAAATCGAAACGTTAAAAAATGCAGGAATGGAAAAGTAGGAAAATAAAAAAATCGATTAATGGAGAAATTGGGAAATCGAAAATTTAGAAACGTCAAAAATAGAAAAATTGAAATCTCGTCAACTAGACGAAAATTGAGAAATTGAAAAATGAAAAAATCGGGAAATCGAAAATTTGATGAATCGAAAAATTGGAAAATATCAACACTGAAAATCGAGAAACTGAATAATTGAAATATCGAAAAATGAATAAAAAAACTGAAACATTTTGTTTTGTTTTTCGAAAGCTCATGACATCTTGGATAAAATTCAACACGGAGAAATTGGGAAATGGAAATATTGAAGAATCAAAGTCGAAACGTCAAAAATTTGAGAAATCGAAAAGTCGGAAAATCAAAAAATCGATTAATCGAGAAATTGAGAAATCGAAGATTTAGAAACGGCGAAAACAGGAAAATTGAAAAATCGTCAAAATGAACGAAAATTGAGAAATCGAAAAGTGAAAAAATCGGGAAATCGAATCGAATAAATGAGGAAACGAAAAATTGGAAAATCTCAATACTGATTGAAAATCGAGAAATTGAAAAATTGAAAATTCGAAAAATAAAGATTAAAAAACTGAAACATTTTGATTTTTACTTCCCGAGCGTAAGCAAAGGAAGTATTGTAATCGAGTCCGTCGGCCGACTCTCTACTTTTACGTTTTCTCGATCTTTCATGACCCCTAGAAGACGAAGAAATAGGTCTCCCATTTCCGTCTGTCTGTCCGTCTGTCCGTCCGTCTGTCCGTCTGTCCGTCTGTCCGTCCGTCTGTCCGTCTGTCCGTCCGTCTGTCCGTCTGTCCGTCTGTTGTCCCGGATTTTTATTAGACAGATAATCTCCGAAAGTACTCGACCGATTGTTGTGAAATTTTGTACTTATATTAAGAATATCATGTAGATGGTAAAACGCTAACCAAAATTTGTCTAATCATCCCCACCACTAATGCGATGACGTCACTTCAAAATTGTACATAGTAAATGGGTTTTCAATTGTATAAAATAACATAGTCCTACACATGTAGTTTACAACTCTGAATCGACTTTTCACCCGAAACGTCCAGATTTTTGGAAAAAAAATCAAAATTATAAAACAACATTTTGAAATTTAATTTTTAATCTGCTAACCAGAATGCTTTGAAATGTTGCAGATGTTTTAAGGCTATAAAGAGCATCATAAATCTTTAGTCAAAAAATATTTGCTTATCCCCTCCAAAAACTTGATGACGTCAGCTCAAAAGTTTGTGGAATAAATCATATCTAAAATGTACAAAATATGATGAGTCTGTACTTGTGATCTATCACTCCATTCATATTTTTTGGATTTGCATATACAGGGTGACTCAAAAAAATTAATGAATGCGTAAATTTATTTTACTGATTTACTCAGAAACTACAAAACCGAATGCTTTGAAATCTTGCAGATGTTTTAAGGTTATAAAGAGCATAATAAATGTTTAGTCAAAATATATTTGCTTATCCCCTCCAAAAAATTGATGACGTCAGCTCGAAAGTTTGCCTAATAAATCCTATCTAAACTGTAAAAATATGATGAGTCTGTACTTGTAATTTATCACTCCATTCATATTTTTTGGATTTGCATATACAGGGTGACTCAAAAAAATTAATGAATGCGTAAATATATTTTATTGATTTAATCAGGAACTACAAAACCGAATGCTCTGAAATCTTGCAGATGTTTTAAGGTCATAAAGAGCATAATAAATGTTTAGTCAAAATATATTTGCTTATCCCCTCCAAAAACTTGATGACGTCAGCTCGAAAGTTTGCCGAATAAAGCATATCTAAAATGTACAAAATATGATCAGTCTGTACTTGTGATCTATCACTCCATTCATATTTTTTGGATTTGCATATACAGGGTGATTCAAAAAAATTAATGAAAGCGTAAATTTATTTTACTGATTTACTCAGGAACTACTAAAGCGAATGCTTTGAAATCTTGAAGATGTTTTAAGGTTATAAAGAGCATAATAAATGTTTAGTCAAAATACATTTGCTTATCCCCTCCAAAAAATTGATGACGTCAGCTCAAAAGTTTGCCGAATAAATCCTATCTAAACTGTACAAAATATGATGAGTCTGTACTTGTAATTTATCACTCCATTCATATTTTTTGGATTTGCATATACAGGGTGGCTCAAAAAAATTAATGAATGCGTAAATTTATTTTTTTTATATAATCATGAACTGCAAAACCGAATGCTTTGAAATCTTGCAGAAATTTTAAGGTTATAAAGAGCATAATAAATGTTTAGTCAAAATACATTTGCTTACCCCTCCAAAAAATTGATGACGTCAGCTCGAAAGTTTGCCGAATAAATCCTATCTAAACTGTACAAAATATGATGAGTCTGTACTTGTGATTTATCACTCCATTGATGTTTTTTTGGATTTGCATATACAGGGTGACTCAAAAAAATTAATGAATGCGTAAATTTATTTTATTGATTTACTCAGGAACTACAAAACCGAATTCTTTGAAATCCACTGCGAAAAAAAAAACATAATAGGCATGCAGTCGTCACGTTTCCGACAGCGAGGGAAGTACTGTCTAAACTCTTTAGACCAATTTTTTTCCAAAGGTTTAATTTAATCTAGGATAAAAATTCATCACGGATTCATAAACCACAAGTTCAGGACCACTTTACTTTTTAATATTTAAATAAAATTTATTCGACAAAATTGTAAGATGCATCATCTATTGCGCTTTATTTATACGGAGTGTTATTTAAGTTTTCCAGAATTCTGAGAATTCAATGTTGAATTTATTTACATTTTAACGTGTAGGCATCATCATAAATAAATAGAATTTGTATTTCTGAAAATCCTGGAACAAAGTTTTCCATTGTAATTCGTGTTGGAAACTGATTATTATTAATTGATCATACAAAGATAATTATATAATTGCACCCTAGATTTAGGAAAATTGAAGATCATAAATTTAGACGATGACGTTTGAAAGGTAATCGTAATTATGTAAAGTAAATAAGTTAATTTGTACCGAGAGAGCAAAAAATGTACGATCAAAGAAGGCTATGGATTTTTGAAGTTTGGCTTTGATCGTTGCATTTTCGACTCAGACTTTGAAATTGGCGGTAAACCTTCCAAAATCTATGGCTGTCTTTGCTTGCATTTTTTATTGTTCTTTCTGTATAAGGTCTGCCTTCTTTCAGACAAAAGTGAGAGAATACAAAAAAAAGAGAATAGAAGAGTCTCATCTGAATATTTTGTAAAACTTTTTTTATTTTTCCATGTAAGTGTGTAACAATTCTTATTTTCTATAAAATGAAAGTTGGGAAATATTATAAGTGCCATCTAATCAGTATAACTTGTAGTAACATTTTTTTCTTATATAGTCTAGAAAATAATTACTTTTTTTTCATCTTCACAGTACGTTAAACTGAAGATTCTGTACAACAGTATTTTTTATATTTCTCGTAACTGGATGTGCACGATAATACATATAATATGCATCAGTATATGATATCAAGGTGGCCTTGATTTTTTGTAAACATTGTGAAGGATGCCTACAATAAACATAAAATGTAATTGACCTAATTTTTTCGTATAATAAAATTGAGGCTTTTCAACTACTTTATCCAATATACAGTAGGATGGATTAATAAAACATTTATTTTTCGCTATGTGACAAGGTAGTTTAGGATAGTTTCTAAAGTAAAAAATATGCTTTAATATCAGTTGTTGTTATATTTATTTTTTCTGCTTTTATTAAAAATACACATTGCAACTTTACAGCTCATTGTACAGAACTTTTAAATTCCATTGTTTCGTTTGATAATTCGCAATTACGAAACAGTAAGAAATTGTTATTTATTTAATTAAAAACTTTAAGTCTTTTTGCATTAAATATTTATTTATTTATATTTATTACGTTTTCCTCCTTGTATCGCAAATATTTATATTTGATGATTAAGTGGAAAAATAGGAATTCGTTGGCCCAACTCCTACAACCCATGTTATTTTATTTGCTTATTAACTTAGCACAAAAAATATTTTATTACTGTTGATGATTAATTTCCCATATTTGTTCACTGATTAGTCATTTATTATCTGAAGTACCCCGTTGACACTGAACAGTGACGAGTGATAAATCCTATTATATCGCATCGGTATCACTCCCATTCGTCATTTTTTTACAGACAATACCGATATTTCTGTAGTGGAGTCGCTTTGAACTCTGCCCTCATACACATTTTTTTTCCGTGGCACCAACCCTTCTTCGGACTCCTCGGATTTTGAATTTTCGCTGAAAAATTCGGAAGAAGTCAATGCATTTTTTTCTTAGAAATAAACATGTCGTACAATACTGCATTTTCTTTAGGAAAAATGATACCACAGGTGTTTAAAAAATCACATTAATATTAGTGGGCAAAAAAAAATTTGAACACGTTTTTATTTTTCTTGGCAAAGTTGCACCACTGTATCATATAACTAGGAGTTATAACAAGATTCATTAAACTCCTCATTGTGTCTCACATATAAGTAACATTGTCTTAGTCTGATTATTGTCTTCTAGGGCGCGTATCCAAATTTCGCCACTTGAAAGGCACTCCAGCGCATAAATCTTTCCACATCGAGAACATCAGGAATTTGAGCCGGCAAATTTCAGGAGAGTGTGACGGTTTTCACGGTACTTAACCTACTAGTATTTTTCATTATGATCCGATTTCCCGTTTTAGCCAACCCCGAACGCGTGGCTGTGCCTCTTAGCGGTCCAGGCGGCAAAATAGCAATTTTCGAACTGAGCAAAACAGGCCGACTTCCCGACGGAGTCATTCCCGCCCTAGTCCACGGAAACAACATAATGGACTTCGCCTGGGATCCCTTCGATAACCATCGCCTCGCAGTGGCCTGCGATGACGGCATCATTAAACTGTGGAAAATTCCAGAGAGCGGCTTGAACGAACCCACGAACGAAGCAGAGAACGAATTCAACGCTCACCCCGACAAAATTTATTTCATTAAATTTCATCCCACTGCCAAAGATGTCTTAGCCTCAGGTTCTTACGACATGACAATCAAGATTTGGGATCTGGCGACTCTCACAGAAAAAATAGTCCTGAAGGGTCACACCGATCAGATGTTCAGTTTCGCTTGGTCGCCATGTGGAGTTTTTTGTTCTACTGTCAGCAAGGACGGGAAGATCCGGATTTATAAGCCTAGGGCGAACGATGCGCCCACCAGAGAAGGAAAAGGACCCGTTGGGAGTAGAGGAGCCAGGATTATTTGGGCTCTCGACGGTAATTTTATCGTGGTTATGGGTTTCGATAAAGTTTCGGAACGACAAATTATGGTTTTTAAATCAACGGATTTGAACAATCCGTTAAATACGGTCGGGCTCGATGTGTCACCGGCTATTTTGATACCTTTTTACGACGAAGATAGTTCGACGTTGTTTTTGACAGGAAAGGGTGACTCAACGATTTATGCTTTCGAAATTACGGAAGAATCCCCGTATATTTGTCCTTTGAGTCATCACAGGTGCAATAATTTACATCAAGGACTCTCCTTCTTGCCGAAAAATGTTTGTGATGTATCTAATGTTGAGTTTGCTAAAGCACTAAGACTCACTAATAATACTATAGAACCACTATCTTTCACCGTTCCGAGGATAAAGGTAAATTGAAGTGTCATAAGACGGCGTAAAATTTAAAATTTATTTTAGACGGAATTGTTCCAAGACGATCTCTTTCCTCCTACTCGAGTTATGTGGAAGTCGTCTTTAACAAGCGCGGAATGGTTTAATGGGAAGGATAAAGCGCCTCCAAGGATCAGTTTGAAGCCTGACGGCATGGATTTGCGTAAGTTTTCATTTAGAATTTTTAAATAACTACTAAGAAAAGAATGAGGCCGAGCCTATCACGGTCCTGTGTAGCGATCGAAAATTGAAAGAATTAGAGTTGGCTCTGGGGCCAGTTGTATTGGTGGTACCCAGCAGCGAGGGGTATTAAGCTCCTCCGCCTTCTCTCTGCGGGTTGTCATAATTCCCTAAACACTTAGGTAGAATAAAATGAACAAGGACTAAAGTTTCCTTCCTTGATTACAGAGATTGATTACACACTACACAATAAAATATGTTCAACTCAGAAAGTACTTTTCTTAAGATAAAAATGAATTAATGAAATTTAACCAAGTAACCGCCACATCCGTACAAACCATTATTTTTTACAAAAATTCATATTTACATTTATCGTGGGTAGATTTTAAATGGGAAGCGGTGTTTTTTTATCAACCTGACTTATTAGTGAGATATCGAATAAACTGACGAATATTGACAATTCTAAAATAAAACAAGACGAAACCTCGGAATGAAATATGTATATGAAAATTATCTTCTAACTATTTCAATTTTGGGATTTTTAAATACTTCGACTTTTAAATGTTTCGATTTTTCGACTTTTCGTGTTTTTGATTTTTTACTTATTCGATTTTTCTAAATATTGTGACTTTTTAAATCTTACATTTTTCGATTCTTCAGTTTTTTTATTTTTCGATGTGTTGATGTTTTGACTGCTCGATTTTTTAAATTTTAGATTTTTGTAGTGTCGATTTCTCAATCTTTCGATTTTCCGATTTTTCAACTCTTCGATTTCTGTTTTTCGATAATTCATCTTTTCAATTTTTCGATTTTCCAATTTTTCAACGTTTCAGTTTTGGGATTTATGTATTTAAGTTTTTCGATTTTTCAATTTTTCAATTTTTGGCGTTTCAAAATTTTGGATTTTTCGATTTCGCAATTTCTCGATTATTCGATTTTTTAATTTTCCGATTTTTCAATTTCTTTGTTGAAGTTTTGGGCTTTTTTTTTCAATTTTGCGAGTTTTTAAATCTTACATTTTGAAACATTTTCGTCTATTCGATATTTTAAGTTTTGGATTTTTGGATTTTTTAAATTCTTGATTTTTCAATTTTTCGGTTTTGACAATATTTTCTTTCTAGGTTCTCGATTAATGGATTTTTTAATTTTTCGATTTTTCGCCCTTCCGAATTCTCGATTTCTCAATTTTTCGATTTTCAAATTTTCAGTGTTGCAAGTTTTGGGATTTTTCAAGATGTATTTCGATTTTTAAATTTTTAGATTTTTCGACTTTGTTTTTTTTTTATTTTTACTTATTCGATTTTTCAAAATTTTGCGATTTTTTGATTTTTCGATTCGTTGATGTTTTGATTTCTCGATTTTGTAAATTTTCAAATTTTCGAATTTTTATATTTTAGATTTTTCACTTTTTTGTTGGTTCGATTTCTCAGTGTTTCGATTTTTTGCCCTCTCATTTTTAGATTTTTCGATTTTTCAATTTTTCGGAATGGATTTTCCAGTTTTTCGATATTTCTATTTTTCAATTTTCGATTTAACGGAGTTCTTTCGATTTTTCGCCTTCTCGTTTTTAGATTTCTCGGTTTTTTAATTCTTCGGAATTAATTTTTCAGTTTTTCGCAGTTTCGATTTTTCACTTTTTGGTTTATCGGTTTTTAAAGTTACAATTTTTCAATTTTGAATTTTCCTATTTTTCAATTTTTAGCCATTTCCATTTCCAAATTTTTAGATTTTTCGACTTTTCGATTTCTCGATCTTTTGATGTTTCGATTTCGCGATTTTTCAATTTTTCTATTCGAATCTTTCGGTTTTTCAATTTTTGGCGTTTCTAAATTTTTGGATTTTTCGATTTCTCAGTTTCTCGATTCATGGATTTTTTCATTTTTCGACATTTCGATTTTTCGTCTTTCCGATTTCTCGATTTCTTAATTTTTCGATTTTCAAATTTTTAATGTTATAAGTTTTGGGATTTTTCAATATGTATTTCGATTTTTCAAAATTTTACGATTTTTTAAATCTTACTTTTTTCGATTTTTAAACTTTTTGATTTTTCTATTTGTTGATATTTTGATTTCTCGATTTTGTAAATTTCCAATTTTCGAATTTTTAAATTTTAGATTTTTCATTTTTTTGTTGTTTCGTTTGTGCCCTCTCATTTTTCGATTTTTCGATTTTTCGGAATTGATTTTTCAGTTTTTCGATATTCCGATTTTTCGTTTTTACTTCCCGAGCGTAAGCAAAGGAAGTATTGTAATCGAGTCCGTCGGCCGACTCTCTACTTTTACGTTTTCTCGATCTTTCATGACCCCTAGAAGACGAAGAAATAGGTCTCCCATTTCCGTCTGTCTGTCCGTCTGTCCGTCTGTCCGTCCGTCTGTCCGTCTGTTGTCCCGGATTTTTATTAGACAGATAATCTCCGAAAGTACTCGACCGATTGTTGTGAAATTTTGTACTTATATTAAGAATATCATGTAGATGGTAAAACGCTAACCAAAATTTGTCTAATCATCCCCACCACTAATGCGATGACGTCACTTCAAAATTGTACATAATAAATGGGTTTTCAATTGTATAAAATAACATAGTCCTACACATGTAGTTTACAACTCCGAATTGACTTTTCACCCGAAACGTCCAGATTTTTGGAAAAAAAATCAAAATTATAAAACAACATTTTGAAATTTAATTTTTAATCTGCTAACCAGAATGCTTTGAAATGTTGTAAATGTTTTAAGGCTATAAAGAACATCATAAATCTTTAGTCAAAAAATATTTGCTTATCCCCTCCAAAAACTTGATGACGTCAGCTCAAAAGTTTGTGGAATAAATCATATCTAAAATATACAAAATATGATGAGTCTGTACTTGTGATCTATCACTCCATTCATATTTTTTGGATTTGCATATACAGGGTGACTCAAAAAAATTAATGAATGCGTAAATTTATTTTACTGATTTACTCAGAAACTACAAAACCGAATGCTTTGAAATCTTGCAGATGTTTTAAGGTTATAAAGAGCATAATAAATGTTTAGTCAAAATATATTTGCTTATCCCCTCCAAAAAATTGATGACGTCAGCTCGAAAGTTTGCCGAATAAATCATATCTAAAATGTACAAAATATGATGAGCCTGTACTTGTCATTTATCACTCCATTCATATTTTTTGGATTTGCATATACAGAGTGACTCAAAAAAATTAATGAATGCGTAAATACAGGGTGTCTCAGAAATAAGTACATTAATTTTAATCAGTTATAGAGCTCATTGAACTCAACAACTTTTTTTAGTAGAGTTTTGTCAAGAACTTTTTAATTATCAAGTTAAAAATTGTTAAAGTTATACCTCAATTAAGGTTACCCGCCCATGGATCCTCAGTCACCCATGGGCACTAATAATTATTATAATTAATAATTTATGGTCAAAAACAGTTACTAGGATACGTATTTTCCTAATTTTGTCAATGTGACAAACATTTAGAGAGAAATTGAAAATCCTGCTCCCTAATGGCGTACGGAATTTCATCGGCCCAAATGTGGATGTTGAACACCTTCCCTCGTGTAACCGACCTCATCAGTTGGTGGTATAAGAGATACAAAATTTGCTTGTTCGTTTATTTTTCTATTAACCCACTCACAAAAGTTTTGCCTACGTGGTAAGTCTGTTAGTTTCAATAACTGAACTTTCTGGTCCTGAAAGGGGTACATTTGTTCTCTGAGTATCCTCCAAATACTACTCTCCGATACATCACACTAGACAGTGATACGTGCTAGTGCCCGGTCGAGCTTCAACACTCTTTAAAACAGCCTCTTCAATATTAGCAATTTTATTACTACATAACTTACCCCGATCCTGAGGTGCAGGTTTAAGAGATCCGTACTCTCGAAAATGCTGCAACGTTCTTAAAAGTGCGCACATTTGGCACACGACGATTTGGGAGGTTTTCTGAAAAAATTCGTTGGGCGCGAGTGCCGTTTCCCCGAGCTTCACCGTACGTTAAAACGATATCGGTGCATTCCAGATTTGAAAACAAAGCCATTTCAACACATTTCGTCTATAAATTAGAAATCTGTGCCAAACAAACTTTAAAGTGACAACGTTTAATAAAAACATTGACATAAAAATGATTGTCAGTGTCAAAACGGTTGCTACGGTACCTTCTTCATTGTTGTAGTGTTGCTATTATTTAAGTTATTATTTAAGGTGAACATAGACGGCTCGTAAATATATGGGTGGGAAAATTCGAAATTCGACTTGACTTTTCGAAAAAATGCTAGATAAAAAAGTTATTCCGTTTCACGAGTTCTGTTACTGGTTAAAATTAATGTACTTATTTCTGAGACACCCTGTATATTTTATTGATTTAATCAGGAACTACAAAACGGAATGCTCTGACATCTTGCACATGTTTTAAGGTTATAAAGAGCATAATAAATGTTTAGTCAAAATATATTTGCTTATCTCCTCCAAAAACTTGATGACGTCAGCTCGAAAGTTTGCCGAATAAATCATATCTAAAATGTACAAAATATGATGAGTCTGTACTTGTCATTTATCACTCCATTCATATTTTTTGGATTTGCATATACAGAGTGACTCAAAAAAATTAATGAATGCGTAAATATATTTTATTGATTTAATCAGGAACTACAAAACGGAATGCTCTGACATCTTGCAGATGTTTTAAGGTTATAAAGAGCATAATAAATGTTTAGTCAAAATATATTTGCTTATCCCCTCCAAAAACTTGATGACGTCAGCTCGAAAGTTTGCCGAATAAATCATATCTAAAATGTACAAAATATGATGAGCCTGTACTTGTCATTTATCACTCCATTCATATTTTTTGGATTTGCATATACAGAGTGACTCAAAAAAATTAATGAATGCGTAAATATATTTTATTGATTTAATCAGGAACTACAAAACGGAATGCTCTGACATCTTGCACATGTTTTAAGGTTATAAAGAGCATAATAAATGTTTAGTCAAAGTATATTTGCTTATCCCCTCCAAAAACTTGATGTCAGCTCGAAAATTTGCCGAATAAATCATATCTAAAATGTACAAAATATGATCAGTCTGTACTTGTGATCTATCACTCCAACTCCATTCATATTTTTTGGATTTGCATATACAGGGTGAATCAAGAAAATAAATGAAAGCGTAAATTTATTTTACTGATTTACTCAGGAACTACAAAACCGAATGCTTCGAAATCTTGAAGATATTTTAAAATTATCATAAGCATGGTAAATTTTTGATCAAAACGTATTTGGTCGTCCCCTCTAAAAAATTTATGACGTCACCACAAAATTTTGCTGAATAAATCCTATCTAAAATGTACAAAATATGGTGAGTCTCTTCTTGTGATTTATCATTCCATTCAAATTTTTTCGATTTGCGTATACAGGGTGACTCAAAAAAATTAATGAATGCGTAAATTTATTTTATTGATTTAATCAGGAACTACAAAACCGAATGCTTTGAAATCTTGCAGATGTTTTAAGGTTATAAAGAGCATAATAAATTTTTAGTCAAAATATATTTGGTTATCTTCTACAAAAAACTGATGACGTCGGCTCAAAAGTTTGCCGAATAAATCGTATCTAAAATGTACAAAATATGATGAGTCTGTACTTGTGATTTATCATTCCATTCATATTTTTGGATTTGCATATGCAGGGTGACTCAAAAAAATTAATGAAGGCGTGAATTTATTTTATCGATTTAATCAGGAATTACAAAACCGAATGCTTTGAAATCTTGGGAATATTTTAAAGTTATTATAAGCATGGTAAACTTTTGTTCAAAATGTATTTGTTCATCGCTCCTAAAAAAATTGATGACGTCACCCTTAAATTTTGCTGAATAAATCCTATCTAAAATGCAAAAAATATGATGAGTTTGTACTTGTGATTTATCATTCCATTCATATTTTTTAGATTTTCTTAAGAGGTGGTTCAAAAAAATTAATGAAGTCAATTTATTTTATTGATTAAATTAAAGGCAACACTTATTATTAGTATTACACCCCAACCAACCCAATTTGGTAGACACAAAATTTGTTAAAGGAAAAACTCGGTTGAAACATAAGGGTAGCACGCTTATTTACATCGACTTTAACATTACAGACCTGCATTTGTTTTATGCGCTCACTTGGTTCCGCGAATGTGAAATAGACATGTTTATAATCAACCAATTGTGAATTTCACCGTCAAGAATTAAAATAAAACCCAATGTTTTATATAATAAGCGGAAGTCGAAGCAATAAAACCGATGGTCGTTTTGTTTACAGTTTCTCTGTTTGACTCTCACGTATGCTGTTACGCCTGTCATCTTAAATTAAGAATGTTTATACATACACGATTTTCAGTTGCCTCTGATACGTATACGTGAGTAAATTGTTTCGTTATTTTATTGATTATTACAAATCAATATTCAAAACGACCCAATTCATTTTCCCGAAAATTTGGGAGTACAATAATTTTATTCTTAGTATTACACTACATCTATCCCAACTGATATACGTGTCCTTGCAAAAATGTTGATGACGTCATCGCAATTTTTTTTAAATTCCCACTACAAAAATGTAATGAGAAAAAAACACAATAGCCATGCAGTCGTCAAGTTTCCGACAGCGAGGGAAGTACTGTCTAAACTCTTTAGACCAATTTTTTGTTTTACATTTTCGGGTTTTTCAATTCTTCGGAATTAATTTTATAGTTTTTCGAAATTTCGATTTTTTAATTTTTCGATTTATCGGGTTTTTTAAGTTTAAATTTTTCAATTTTGAATTTTCCTATTTTTCGATCTTCCAATTTTTCAACGCTTCAGTTTTGGGATTTATGTATTTAAATTTTTCGGTTTTTCAATTTTTCAATTTTTTTTTCGATTTTTCTATTTCTCATCTTTCCGACTTCTCAATTTCTCGATTTTCAAATTTTCAATGCTGTAAAAGTTTTGGGATTTTTCAATATGTATTTCGATTTTTAAATGTTTAGATTTTTCGACTTTGTTTTTTTGATTTTTACTTATTCGATTTTTCAAAATTTTGCAATTTTTTAAAATCTTACATTTTTCGATTTTTCAATTTCTTGATTTTTCGATTCGTTGATGTTTTGAGTTCTCGATTTTGTAAATTTTCAATTTTTCGAATTTTTAAATTTTAGATTTTTCAATTTTTCGATATATGGAGCTTTTTAAGTTAAAATTTTTCAATTAATTTTCCTATTTTTCGATTTTTAGCCATTTCAATTACTGAATTTTTTGATTTTTCAATTTTTGGCGTTTCTAAATTTTTGGATTTTTCGATTTGTCAATTTCTCGATTATTGGATTTTTTAATTTTTCGACTTCTCAATTTTTCGTCTTTCCGATTTCTCGATTCCTCAATTTTTCGATTTTTAAATTTTTAGATTTTCCGACGTTGTGTTTTTTGATTTTTCCAAATTTTGTGATTTTGTAAGTCTTACATTTTTTGATTTTTCAATTTTTTGATTTTTCGATTCGTTGATGTTTTGATTTCTCGATTTTGTAAATTTTCAATTTTTCGAATTTTTATATTTTAGATTTTTCACTTTTTTGTGGTTTCGATTTTCGATTTTTCAATTTTTCGGAATAAATTTTTCAGTTTTTCGATATTTCGATTTTTAAAATTATGGGTTTTTTTAAGTTTAAATTTTCCAATTATGAATTTTCCCATTTTTTGATCTTTACCGATTACGATATCTCAATTTTTCGATTTTTCGACTTCTCGATTTCTCAGTTTTTCGCTTATTCGTCTTTTCGAGTTTCCAATTTTTCGACGTTTCAGTTTTGGGATTTATGTGTTTAAATTTTTCGATTTCTCAGTTTTTCAATTTTTGGCGTTTCTAAATTTTTCGATTTTTCAATTTCGCAATTTCTCGATTATTCGATTTTTTAATTTTCCGATTTTTCAATTTCTCTGTTTAAGTTTTGGGCTTTTTTTTTCAATTTTGGGAGTTTTTAAATCTTACATTTTGAAACATTTTCGTCTATTCGATATTTTAAGTTTTGGATTTTTGGATTTTTTAAATGCTTGATTTTTCAATTTTTTGGTTTTGACAATATTGTGTTTTTCCTTCCAAAAACGAAACATCACATATTTAAAAAAAAAAGACGCTAGGAGCCCCTAAGATTCTGTAAAATTCTTTCCAAATAAAGAACTCCACGGATCCCCGAGATTTTTTAAAAGTATTTTAAAAACAAAACACAAGAGGCCCCGAAGATTTTTTTTATATTAAAATAACACTAAGCGCCTACAAGACTTTCTCTTTTAAACGCAAAAAATTGGTTTAAAGTTTATTGAGAGAGATCTTCCCTCGCCTCTGAAGTAAAAATATATTATCAGTACATGCTTAACTTCAATTGTTTATGTTTATACATCGAAAGAATGCGACAATTTAAGCACCCAGCAAATTGTCTCCTCAATTATTTGTTTAATTCACTTTTATTTAAGAAAAGTACTGTCTGAGTTAAACATATTTTATTGTGTGATACTACAACACAGTTTCTACCTGAAGAAGGTACTGTGAAATCAATCTCTGTAATTTTATTCTACCTGAGTGTTTAGGGAATTAGGGTAACCCGCAGAGAGAAGGCGGAGGAGCTTAAAACCCCTCCCTGCTCCATTTGTGTCAAATTGAGTTGCTTGCCACCCAAAATTTAACAAGCAACGCCAACTCGAGTTTATTTTATTGTCGATCGCCGTATTAATTGTGGTCATTTCTATTTTTTCTGAAGTGTCAGAGACTCAAGTGAATAACCAAGAAAGAACCATAAATAAGTCAGCTTCAACCCCATTCATTGGTGCTTCTCAGCCTTACAATCGCTTAGCATGGAACGCAGAATTAACAGGGCAAACTAAGATGAAGCAAGAAGAGGTGAGTTGACAAAAATTGTATGAATTTAGTTTCATACTTGTAACATGAATTGTTTTGTAGATTCAAAAATCTGTGAGTAACAAACTGGAAGTGAACTTGAAGCTCGAGCAGGACGAAATGGAGGGAGTGGATGAGAAGGAATGGAATGATTAATTTTCTCAAATTACTTTAGTGTAAAGTTAGTTTGCTCTCTTCTTAAGGAGTTTTACGTATCTAATTTAATGAAATAATACCTAGCCCGCCTTATTAAAACTTGACCGCAACATAACCTTTTTTATTAACGCGTAAGATATTATAATCAATGCTTAATTTTTTATTTTTGTATATTTGTAATGATGGCTCAGCAACATTAATAACAAAGGTGATTTTGATATTTTTTTAAAAGAGGATGTTTTGTACGCTTTAATATTTTTCTATTACAGTTATTTAATGACATCTAGTCAGTTTTATAATGTGCTTTAATTAACATGTGATCTCTCAACAATATTATATTTGGTACACATTCCGAATCTGTATTTTAAACCAGTCAAGCGTTCGTGCCAAATCAGAGAAAGCAAAAATGACCAAATTCGTGCTCATTTTTCCAAATTCAATCGCTCAAAACTTCATGTTTTAGTCATTTAAGTGCTATATAAGTTTTGATAACTTTGTTAATTTATTTGTATTGTGTATTTATTTGTATTAGTGTTGTGACAGTGTAGGATGTAGTTTCCATGTAAGGTTAAATGTAATTAATAATTATTTATACCTCTTCGTTTTTATTTCTTCACATAAAAAAACAATATACACAACTTTCCAGATAAATAGATTTTTTAAATTTATGTTAAATTGTTTTGAGAAATCATGAACTACCTACTCTATCTCTTGGAATGAGTCTGAGTTCAGAACCGTGTTTTAGAAACACATTGCCGGCGGTTTGTTGGGGGTTAATTCCAACCCCATCATCTGTAATGATTGCTGAAGTTGCTGGTGGAACTTTAAATTCTTCAGCAGCAAACTTCAATACAGCTGTAAAGGGTGTAGCTTCTGGAACACTTAATCTACAACAAAATTGATTATCATTTTTATTATAAAACAATACAAAATTATAAACACGCATGCATGATGAGTTCCCAAATTGATAAATCTGTACATTCTTGAGCTTCACTCAGTCTACTTATTACATATTCCTTCATACCGAGATTTTCAGATTGACACAAACATTTGAAAATTGTTTCTAGTTCGTTGTAACTTATTTCTGGACATATACTAGTACTTGAATTACTGATCCACTGATTTTTATTATTTTGTTCCATCATTCCACCCACATAAATTAAAAAATTACACAACGGCTCAAAAAATTCTTTATAATTACAACACACTTGTAATAGACAACAACTTTCAACATTTCTAAACATAGCAAGCCAAAAGTTTTTGCTTAAAATACTTCTATCCCACATTTTCTCCAGAATACCATCTAAAATTACTTTAGTTACAGAGTTTTTCACATTTAGAGCTAAAATCCCCATAAAAGTGGGCAGACAAGTTTGAACCTTATAACTAGTTAACCAATCAGCAACAAGTGACACGATTTTCTTATTGTCACATTCAAAGTCTTTAGACCACTGTTGTAAAACAAGTTCATATTTAACACTGCCAATATTAACAATAGGTTTATTTGCAACTGTAAAGTCAAAAATTGCTTCAAAACAAGCTGAAGTCATTATAAGATCTTTTAATACAACTTCTAGTCGCTCTTTTGGAAACAATGATGTGTACATTCTCACAGCAACATCTATAACGTTCTCATTCACAAATTTGTGTTTAAAAAATTTCAGGAGTAGATGATCACAAACTTTGGCATAAAATTCTTCTTCATAATCCACTTTTGTATTATAGTTTTCCCATGTTTTAACCCCTTTGAGAAAGTGAGATGCGCTATTTTGCTCCCTAAATTTACACATCGCTTTTTCAACAAAAGCGCCCAATTTAAAGGCTACTTTAATATCCTCAGAAGTGACAGTTTTCACCCACTGGTCATTTTCATAGATCGAAATGATGTTATGGAATGCTGTTATGATTTGTTTTATGTTTGCCGTGGACGCGTCATTCATGGCATGATTTTGGTAGCTACTGTCATTTTCGCCTTCTATCTGTCAACAAAAAGACAACAATTAGGTTTGATCTGTTCGGAAAGTGAAAGTGGACAACAGTAACTACCAAATCTGATTAGCATTTTATGGAAACTTACACTTTAAAGGGTAATTTGGGGTCCGAGGTTAGAGTGATCTTGAAGGTAACTTTGGAGCTGTAAAAATATTAGTAGTTTACTATGCAAACATATGCTGTTAACCTATAAACTTACGCAGCCATTGGGAACTGGAAAATAATTAGATGACAACAACTTGGGTATAATAAATGTCTTAAAATCTAATTAAAGCAGTTAGAAGTTGACAATATGTGGCGAGTATTCTCAATCACAGTTGCTTGTGCCACTCACCAACAAATGTAGGAATGTCAAAGGATCAAATGTCACTTTTGTCGGGCGAGACGAAATGTCACCAACGTTATAGTTATAGTACGAAAGTTACTAGACTTATAAAGAGCAAATTAATGTGAAAAACACAACTACAAAATATACCAAACAATTGTATTTTAATGCACTATATTTACAATTAAATCATTAATTACGCTAAAATATGTAATATCGTCTTTATTTAATAAACTGGCTCTGGTTGTTGCGTTAGTAACAGTCCAAACCGTTTTTTGATCGTGATCCTCTGTCTTGAATATTTGTCCTCGGGCGAAAAACGTGCTGCAACAAAATGACAGTACTTTAGAGAAGTATTTCAAAAAGAGTCGTATTATTTATGTCTCACAAATAATGAGTTAACGTGAATAGTACTACGGTACTAACTGAAAAAATATAAAAATTAGGTTACCTGGGTGAGCCGAAACAGTCGGTTTTCCCGCGGGGTCATTTTTCTGCAAATAAAGTTCATGTGAAGGGATTAATGAATTCAAGTAAGGCAGTACGACATACATCTAAGGTGTAGACTCTGTTACCGTCCTGATCCAGGTGATACATTAAATACATCTTGTGTTTGGACAGAAGCTGTAATATTTTTGAGAAACAGTATTTCTTCACCTTTTCCAAACCTAGTTTTCGAGCAGCAATGGAAAAAAGACGAGAGAATGAAAACAACACCAACACGTGCCTAAATTGGCAAATATAATGAACGAGTCGTCAGAGGAGTCGTTCAATTTGTGTTATTTTGACATTGTTAGTGACATTTCATGCGTCTTGAATTAGCGCGTAATTCAAAAAGATAGACCTTTCATTTGTATTATTGATAATTTTAGATCCTCAAATTGTCATATAAGTGTTATTACGTTATGTTATAACTATAACTCAGAGATTTAACTAGAGAAAGAACAAATCTTTGCTCCCCATTAATGTTTTAGATGAATTTAAATTGTGTTAGAGTTTAGCATGAGTTTAGTAATGTCATGTTTCACAGTTGGTATCAAATAAACGTCGCATTGCCGGATATTATCAGTCCTGCCAATCCACATCACAGGTGTTGTGCCTTTTTGTCAAAAAATGGCGAATGTTAGAGGTCTTATTGGCATTTTGTGTACAAAACAGTTAAATACCCTTGTGACACCTCCCGTAAACAAAATTTCAGCAAGATTTCTACATCACTGTCTCCATTCTAACAATACCGGAGTAATAAATTTAACGTTTTCTAAAAGTTTCAAAAGCCGTAAGTTAACACCATGCATTTATTGATTACATCATTTGATGAACTAAAAAGTCTTGACTTTGTACCTGTAGCGTTTATAAGTACAAAAAGTAGTTATTTTAACATAAATTAAGACTTGTCGTGTGATTTTATCGATTACCTTGTAACATAACCTTACTTTTTAGTCCTCCAGATAAGTTCCAGAAACATCCATTTAAATTCCGTGTTAAATGCCAAAGACTATTACCAAATATTGGGAGTTAGTAGAAACTCTTCAGGGGCAGAAATTAAAAAAGCTTACTATAAATTAGCCAAGAAGTATCATCCTGATGTTAACAAGAATGACCCAAATGCAGCTAAAAAGTTCCAAGAAGTATCAGAAGCTTATGAAGTACGTTTATCTCCGTTTTTTGTCTAAATTGTTTTAATATTCGTGGTTTCGTAGATCTTGGGTGATGAAACAAAACGTAAACAGTTTGACACATGGGGGGCCACTTCCGAACAAATGGGTGGCATGGGTGGTATGGGCGGGCAGAGTGGACCTCATGGCCACCAAGGTTTTGCGGAACAGTGGCAATATCGTTCAACTATAGATCCAGAAGAATTATTTAGGAAAATTTTTGGCCAAGCTGGTTTTGGAAAAAGTACAAGTTTTGACGATTTCGCTGAATCGGCATTTGGTTTTGGGCAAGCGCAAGAAGTTGTAGTAAAACTTACTTTTCAACAAGCAGCGCGTGGAATTAACAAAGATATCACAGTAAATGTGGTGGATACTTGTCCCAAGTGTCAAGGAAGTCGTTGTGAACCAGGCACAAAAGCCACTAGGTGCACCCATTGTGATGGTACAGGGATGGAGAGTGTTACCAGGGGGCCTTTCATTATGAGGTCTACTTGTCGGTATTGTCAGGGTAGTAGGATGTTTATTAAACATAAATGTTCAGAGTGTGAAGGAAAGGGTTCTACTGTGCAGAGGAAAAAGGTTACTGTTCCTGTGCCAGCAGGTGAATAGATTTTATTTTAGTGTTATTTGGGCTTAAAATGGGGTTATAGGTATTGAAGATGGACAAACAGTGAGAATGTCTGTAGGAAACAAGGAATTATTTATCACTTTTCAAGTTGAGAAGTCTAGATATTTTAAAAGAGATGGCGCTGATGTTCATACTGAGGCAGAAATTTCTGTAGCGCAGGCGCTACTTGGGGGCACAATTAGGATTGAAGGATTGTATGAGGATCACACAATTCAGGTATTTTATTATAGATAGTCACATAAACTGCTTAACATACAGTCCTAAAAATAGGTTTTGCCGGGAACGTCGTCACATACTCGAATACGTTTAAGTGGGAAAGGAATGAAGAAAGTGGATGGATATGGGCACGGTGATCATTACGTTGTTTTTAAGGTTGCGGTCCCCAAGAATTTATCGGAAAAACAGTTGGCAGTAGCGCAAGCTTACGCTGAGCTTGAAACTGACACCCCTGGTCAGATTTTAGGTGTCACTTTAAAAACTGACGGTGAGTCTTTTTTTACACTATATTTTTGAGTGCATTATGAGAAGGAATGGATTGGGGGAGTATAATTTGGCTTGAAATTTAGCAACGTGTTCCTTGTTTTTGTCCGCAAAGTTACTTATGAATTTTTTTTAACAGGCAAAGACAAGGACGAGATGCCTCTGGCAGGCTCTGAAGCTAAATCTCAAGAGGGAGAAAAGCCGAGTCTGCTTTCAAAAATTAAAACTGCGTTATTTGGTTGATTTTAAATAATACAGGGAGAAATAGTTGAATTTTTTATTTTATGTATATAACAGTTAAGTTACTAAATAAATAGACTATACAATAAATAATTTATCTTTCATTTAACATTAATAATTTCTTTTATCTTTATAGGTAGCAAAATTTTCGTGTCCAAAGACAAACAAGAACTTTTAGAAGCCCTTAGGTTAGTGCTACAAGGTAAGAACGTAGAAACCGCCACAGAACCTGACTCACAAAATACTACTAGGGAAGTTGTAGATAATAGAAACGTTAAAGTAAAAAATGAAAATGAAGATCATAGTGACAATGAAGAAGCGAAACGAAATAAAATGCCGTAATTTTTGTGAACTAGTTTTTTTAAAGTTGTTAATATGTACTGTTTAAAAACAATAAAATGACTAGATTCTATTTCGCTTTTCAGTAACTATCGCATATAAGGCAGTCCTGCGTTTTAAGGCTGCATCAGCGCGATGCTATCTGAGAATCACAGTTGGGTTTTATCAGCGGTTTTTTAAATATTCCCCAAATTATAAAGTAGTTTTTCGGATTAGCGGTGTTAAGTTGTCTGAAATGTGAACTAAGATTTCTCGCAAGCCCTAAACTAGGAAAAACGGAAGGTGAGCACACTGCATTGTTTTCTATTGGAATTATAACTCGGAAGACTAAAAATTCGGTGTTTTAAAGGAATCTGCACAGGGCTTTCTACCTATTCAATGCGCTGTGGAAGTTGAAATATTTAAGATACCGAGTACGTGCTCAGCACGTAGATGACACATTGTGGCAGTAATTACGAAGTCTATGCGATAGTAAAATTAACGCTTGCAAGTGTCTAGAATAAAATCTTGTATCGATTTTTTCGATTATCTTTGATTTTGTGAATAAAACGTTCACGCTACTGAGGTCCAGAAGAACCTTGATTGTTCAAAGTGTAGCTTGTAATATACACTTTACGGCATTACTAATTAAAGGAGAATAAATAGTTTTTGTTCTGCAAATGACATTTTTGATTTAAGCCAATGAACACGTTACTAGTTTTTAATATTTCATTCGTGCGAATTTTAAAATTATTTTTGTAAACACACGTTAACAGTGATTGAGTGCTATCTTGGTAAGTTTTCTGTTCGATTTAATGAAATGTGTCACAACATTGCTATTAAATTTAACTTCAAACTATTGTTTCTCTTAATTTTGAGCCTAAATGTGATACTAAATAGGCTTTCAAGGTAAGTTATTGCAGTAAAGCTGGTATATGTATGTACATATGTATGTTTAAATTAATGAAATACGATAATATGACTGAAATGTAACATTTATCCATGTTCTGAGAGACTTAAAAGTTCTTTCCTCATTCGAAAATTACATATATTCACGTTGTTATTGTAAAACTTACGTAGTGGAGTGGTAGTCATTGTCATGTACTTAATCATAATTTTTTAGTGTAGTACAGGATGATGCAACTATCTTTATTCACAACTGTTATTCTAGAAATGCAAAATATTTAAGCAAGATATTTAAAATTACGCGGCATTGTGGGCTGCGCGCGCATCTAGCATCAGCCGTTTCAAGCCGGTTTTACGCCGCTAAAATTTATCAGTATTTTTTTTTTTTGTAATACTACATTAGCAAAATTTAATTCAGTTACCTCATGTCGATTACAAATAGGTTTTCATGGAAACATTTTTACATGTAGTATTTGAAATATTGTTTTGTAGGCCCTTATGTAATATCTCTTAATTATGACATGCACGAAAATTAGGTCTAAAATTTTACACAATGTGTAACTTTAAAACTCTCTGTACTAATGGTTTTCTATAGAGCATAGTGGTGAAAAAAGATAGAGGCATTAACCTGTGTACATACATACATTTATATTTACATTGTATAAAGATTTATTAATACCACCACTACTAGTTTACTATACTAGAATCGTCGAGTTGAATCTATGAGGCTTCGTCTAACCAATAGCAATACTAGGTTCGTTCTTTATGTTAGCGCATCTGTTCGGCAGTTCTAGTATAGAAAGCTTCTCCTCAAGGATGTGTTCTTTCGGAGATGATTGGGTCGATGGAAGTGATAGTGGATGTATATCGTCTTCATTAAAAATGTTTCCAAAATTTGCGCATGTGTATGATTGTTTTTTATTTATTTTGTAAACGCATCTTTGTTTCATTTCAAGTAGACTTCAGTTAAGTATATATAATGAAATAAAGAGTGGATTTTTTAATCCAAGTTTTTCAAAAATACGTATAAATTGAAGTAAAATGATTAACGACATTATTTTTTTTGTAAAAGTCGATTGCTGGGTGATCCGTTTCGTTAGTGGCGATTGGTCGTGTTTTGTCTTGGGGTAGGCAAGTGATTTTAGGTTCTTCTTTTTATTATTATTATTATTAAATGTTATAATTTTAACACGGCTAGTATACCCATTAAAGCGTTTGCGATGTTGATGAACTTCCAGGGATCTCATTTTAGACCTTTTTTACCCTTATATAAATGATATTGCGTGTATTTTTTGATCATTTAAAAGCACTTTAGTGATAAAATGGGACATACTTAATTGACTTTGTGAAGTATCTAGAATCACTTGGGTAGACTCTGCCTAGTTGCTTCTCCTAAGGCTAGCCGAGCCATACCGGTAACAATATACCTTGTATTTTTTTAAAATTATGTGATACTTAATTGATTGCATTGAACCGTCTATGTGTTGGTATCTTTGTGAAGTATGCCCCAATAAAACAAATAAATGTATAGCCAATTAACCCAGAATACCATTCGTTTCCTCATGTCTATCGCTCTGACGCACCCTTATAAATTCTTATGCTCGCCATAAACTTTGTGTGTTATGGTTAAAGCCTCGGCCGGTTGGGCCAACGAATTCTTTTTTTATTGTCTTTGGTGGGGAATCAAATAGCTGTCGAATTACGGCGCCGTGATATGTATAATCGATTGACTTCAGCAAACCAAATGTGCAGCGCAAATAACTAAGGCACTTCCTACACAGCTCAAGTGTTCGTCAGCAGGCCTAGTCTCAGCCCTATGTCTACGATACCCCTGGTCGCGGAAGCCTGTGTTAACGAGAGTACCAGCGCCGCCAGCGTCACGGCGCATTCTAGGTACAGAGCGTACAGTATTCGAACGTGGCCGTAGGTGGTGGCCACGCCACCGGCCGCGGTGAAATCTAATGGAAACATGAAACTGTCCACGGCACACCTTTGCCTCACGAAACCGAATAGGATGACACCCATCAGGTAATAAAAAGCGATCGAAGCGAAAGGAAACCATTTTAGCCATTTGGGGCGCGGCGAGGTAGGTATGTCTGTGGAGGAACTTCCGAAGGCGAGTTGTTGGAGTCTGACTGCGCCTAGATTGCCCATGTTGAGGATGAGGAGGAAGTGCAGCGGAATGCCGATGGCGGAGAAGAGGACCGCTGCGCCGCGACCGAGCGGGGTTCTGGGGACTGGAGCGCCGAAACCTGAAAAAAACAATAACCGGGATATATTTATCGCTAAGATATAGTGGTGTATTTTTTGTAAAGATTTTCTGTCAAAGAAATCTGTGCGTGAAAAATTGATTTTGATATCTACAACACTAATTACAACGATACTACGTGCTAGAATTTGAAGTTCCGGAGACTTTTTCATTCGACGTCTTTGCTTGTTTTGATGTCGATCGGGTCAGGTAAACTGAACACTGATTTATTCACATTATAGCAACACCAACCAGGTTGCCTGTAGCTATCGGACGACACGAATAAATTAAGTAACAAATTAATACAATATTCTCAGAAGTTGCATTTGGTGAGTTACGTTTTTCTCCCAAGAAAAGTATTAAAACTCGATTCCAGGGAGTGAAAGAAATTACTTGAAACCATAATCAGCTGCTACTTTCACCGTACGGGAAAAAAAGGGTACAAAAAAACCCGTACTAACGAAATAGGTTTTACTCCCGCGAAAATCGCGTGTTCAACACGAATTGTAGCTTCAGTTCTACTCTATGGAGTGCTATTTAAATAAAAGGAGTGATGTTAAGTTTTTAGTTTGAAAGTATCTGTATTAACCAAAAAATGAAAAATAAACAAAATTATCAATAATTTGGACGAAATATACCATCTCACTTTTCGAGCGTTAGCTAAGGAGGTATTGTCATTGAGTCCATCGGACGACTGGCTACCTTCACGTTTTCTCGACGTTTCATGACATCTAGAGTACGAAAAAATAGTTCTCCCCTTTCCGTCTGTCTGTCTGTCGTCTGCCGTCTGCCGTCTGTCTGCGTCTGTGTCATTTTTTATTAGGCGGATAATCTTCTAAGGTATATTAGGAATACCGTGTAGATGGTAAAACGCTGACCAAAATTTGTCTAATCGTAAATTTCTCCACTTGTAGTTTATGAATTCGTGTTGAGTTTTATCCCAGGCATCCAGATTAAAAATAACACAAACTTGTATAAAGATATTTAAAATTTAAGTATGAAATTGCAAAACCGAATGCCCTGAGGCAATCGTTTTAAGGTTATCGGAAGTGTAGTGGTGTTCTGAATTTGAAATTCAAATTTCGCGTTGAAAAAAAAAACAACTCCATTTGAAAATTAAAAAATAAGAAGAAAAAAATATATTGAAAAGTAACGCAGGCATTCATCCATGTTTAGCGTTATGGAATTATTGGACGTTACCCTTTGGGTTGATAAAATTTGAAGGTGGCTTAACTCATATTATTATTTTTACTATTTCTGACGGATACATTTCTGGCCAACAAAATGTTTTTTTTTCTATTATTTTAAAAATAAACGTGAAAAATGATTGTTATTCTTCTCTTGGTAGATGAATCTTAGCTGTTTCGAAGAATTCAGAAGAATCTAGAAGAGACTAGAAGAATCTGAAAGAGTCTGCAGGGATCTGAAATGATCTCGACAAATTTGAAAGAATGTGAAACGATATGAAAGGTGAAAAATTCTAAGAGAATCTGAGAGTATCGAAAAAATCTGAAAGAATCTGAGAGAATTTGAGCTTTTTTCAAATTCCTTCATTTTCTTTACGACTCTTCTTTTCGAATTCTTTGGATTCTTTCTGATTTTCTTTTTTGAATCTTTCGGATTCTTTCGAACTTTTTAAATTCTTTCAAAGACACCATTAGAAATACTCAAGATTAAAAAAAAAAAATTCAGTTCTATTCAGATTGTTTCAGATCTTTACAAATCCATTCAGATTCCTGAGACTCTTCGAGTGAGAGATCACATTCCCTGGAGGATTTTTGAGAGATTCATAAAGAAAGGAATTTGAAGGAATCTGAAAGAATCTGAGGGAACCGTGACAATCTGAGAGAATTTTTAAGAATTTCGACGAATTTGGAAGAATCTGCAGGAATCTGAAAGGATCTGAAACGATCTGAACAGAACTGAAAAATTTTAAAGAATCTTAAAAAAATCTGAAAGAATCGGAAACAATCCGGAAACATTGGAAAGCATCCGGAATAATCAGAAAGAATAAAAAAAAAAATCGAAAAAAATCTCAAAGAGAGAATCAGAAAGAAAATGAAAGAATCTGAAAGCATTTGAAAGAACCTGGAGGAATTTGAGGGAATCTGAGAGAAATTGCGAGATCGGAAAGAATCTGAGAGATTCGGCAAGTATTTGAAGGAATCTGATAGAATTTCGAAGAATCTATAAAAATCTGGAAGAATTTGGAAAAGTCCACAGGAATCTGAAAGTATCTGTACCGTTGTAAAATGACCTGAATAGAAGTAAAAAATTTGAAACAATCTTGAAGATTCCTGCCGGTGCCTTTGAAAGAATCTAAAATAATCTGGAAGCTTAACCGGAATAATCCGAAAGAATAAAAAAAAAATCGAAAATGAAAGAATCTGGAGGAATGTGAAGGAATCTGAGAGAAATTGGGAGATTCGAAAAGAATCTGAAGGAATCTAAAGGAATATGAGAGAATCTTAGGGAATCTGAGAGAAATTGTGAAATTCGGGAAGAGTCTGAGAGATTCGGAAAGAATTCGGAAGAATCTGAAGAAATCTGAAGAACCTGTGAAAACCTGAGAGAATCTCAAAGAATCTAGAAAAATGTGGAAGAATTTAGAAGATTCTGCAGGGATCTGAAAGTATCTGTAAGGTTCTGAAACGATCTGACTAGAACTGGAAAATTTGAAAGAATCTTGAGGATTCCTGATGGTGTCTTTGAAAGAATGTGAAACAATGCGAAAGCATCCAAAAGCATCTGGAATAATTCGAACGAATCCAAAAGAAAGAATCTGAAAATATCTGAAAGAATCTGAAAGAATGTGAGGGAATCGAAGAAATTCTGAGGAAATATTAAACTAAGAATCGGAAAGAATTAGAAAGAATCAGAAGGGATGGAAAAGAAAGTCATGGAATCTAGTCGAACTTAGAAAAATCTGAGAGAATTTGAGAGAATCTAGAAAAATGTAGAAAAAACTGGAAACATCTGATCTGGAGCAGTCTGCAAGGGATCTTGCAAAAATTTGAGAGGATCTGGAAAATTTGAAAGAATCTTGAGGATTCCTGACAGTGTCTGTGAAAGAATCTGAAAAAATTTGAAAGAATGTAAAACAATCCGAAACGATGCAAAAGCATCCGGAATAATCCGAAAGAATCCAAAAGAGAGAATCTTAAAAAAAGAAAGAATCTGAAAATATCCTAAAGAATCTGGAAGAGTCTGACGGAATCGAAGAAAATCTCAGGGAATATTAAACTAAGAAACGGAAGGAATTAGAAAAAATCAGAAGGGATCGGAAAAAATCTCATGAAATCTAGACAAATGGAGCTAAACCTAGAAGAATCTGAGAGAATTTGAGAGAATCTAGAAAAAATGTAGAAAAAACTGGAAGAATCTGGAACAGTCTGCAAGGGATATTGAAAAATTTGAGAGGATTTGGAAAATTTGAAAGAATCTTGAAAATTCGAACGAATGTGAAACAATCCGAACCATCCAAAAGCATCCGGAATAATCTGAAAGAATCCAAAAGAAAGAATCTTAAAAAAAAGAGAGAATCTGAAAATATCTGAAAGAAGCTGGCAGAATCTGAGGGAATATGAAACTAGGAATTGGAAAGCATTAGAAAGAATCAGGGGGAATCGGGAAGAATCTAGACGAATCTAGCTAAACCTGGAAGAATCTGAGGGAATTTGAGAGAATCTAGAAAAATGGAACAATCTGGAATAGTCTGCAAGCGATCTTGGAAAATTTGAGAGGATCTGAAACGATTGATAAAGATCGGAAAAATTCTGAGGAAATCTGAAGGAATCTTGAGGGACATTGAGAGAATTTGAAAGAATAGAAAAAAATCTGTAACAAAGTGTATTTTTTCTAAAAACTTTCGCATTAATTTTTCAGTATATTGATACTGTCTTTTATGTTTTGCAAAGTAAATTCGTTCACAGATATTCCCAGAGCCAGGAATTTGTTGGAAACCACTTTAGGTAAATCACAAACAAAATTTATGGAAAACTTGATATTGACATTTTAACGTTGAAATGTTATAAACGAAGTGAAATGAATGATAAACAGAATTTAAGGCAATTTTTTTCCGAAATTCTTGATATTAAAATTAATCAAATACGAATTAGACTTTCTGGCTTCGAAAAATTACACATTTTTGACGTGCTTAATGTTTCTAAAATTTAATTTTTTCCAAAAAAAATTCCGTATTAACTAAACACGTAAGCACGACAATACAGGCTGACTGCGAAATACATGCAAAAAAAAATGGGGAATAGGTCACAATATGATTATGTCACTGGCAAAAATTCACGGTCCTAGGTGGTAGCAGTGTCTAGAAAAAATTATTTGAAATTAAATGTAAATTGTTATACGCGCCGCTGGTAATGTTTCGTGACCTACATAATTACTGCAATGAATGGGTAGGGGACTCGGAGTAAGAACCAAAAAAGTAACTTTATCAGGCACTTTTTTAATCGCAACGTGAAAAACACAAAAAGGGCCAGTCATTATCGAGCGGTCGTTGAAATCGGTGTATGGTCCAGTTTTCCAATGCAGAGTGTGTCGATATGGTGGTACAGCATCTCCGAGATCATGGTACCTTCAACCTCAAACTCACGATCGTGGTCGTGATGGGGCAGAAAGGAGAATTTGGATTTTCGCAGCTTGTAGTGCATCCTACATTAAAAAAACACGGTCACATCCATACCATGTTGACAAAGTGCACGGTTTGGAGCCCGCTGATTGTCCACGTTGTGTAACTCACTTTTTGTCCGATGGAACTCCACATAGTCGTCAACAAGTACGATTTCAAGAGACGGTTTTCGAGAAACGTGTATTGGTTGGATGAAACAATACGTTTGTGGAAATCAACAGTGTTCAGAAATTATCGAAGAGCTTCAACAAGTGAAAGTGGCAGCCGCTACTCCGGTGTTTTTTTACCTATCAACAAACCTCTTGCGACGCTCTGACGCTTGTATTGCTAGTCAAGGACAACATTTTCAACATTTCTTG